TTCGAATTCGGATTCTTTTCTTATTCTTCGACCCTCTTTGTTCTCTGTAAATAAAGGTCATATCTCCCCTTTTTCAAATCATCAATTATTAACCAAAATTCTCTAATTCTTCTCTCTCTCTAAGCTAAAGCTTATTCTCTCTCTCACCCTCTTTCTAGCCTATCCTTTTACAAACACAATTCCTCATACATTATAACTAGACACACCTAGCCAAGTTCGAATTTGCCTTTTCCCTAGACGTGAAAGGTTTGATATTTCTGAGGGTTTGGTCCCAAATATTTATTTCAATTATTTAATTTAATTCTTTAATTTTATTATTTTCCTTAAATTTACTAACGTGTGTATTTTGTTATTAGAAAGAGATACGAGGCATCCAAGTTAGTAATTTAATTGTTTAAATCATATTTTGCTATATATATCATGTTTAGGTTGTTATTTTGATTCCTATTATCATATTAGGATGTTTTTCCTAATTCATTTTAGGATTTTTTTTAGTATCATGTTTAGGGTAAAGAATAAGTTCCTTTTATCAATTATGATTCGTATGATGCTTCCTATTTTCTTTCTTAATATCATCTTAGTATCATGTTAGGGTTAAAGCTTTGATATTTAATGCTTAGTGACATGCTAGGGTTTGTTATTAATCTTGTTAGTATCATGCCTAGGATGTTGCTATTATTATGCTTTAACATGATTATTTTATTTATGATTATTATTATTATTATTATTATTATTATTATTATTATTATTATTGTTATTGTTATTTTTATATTTATTATTATTATTATTATTATTATTATTATTATTATTATTATTATTATTATTCGATGAGCTTAAGTAAGCGTTTTTGACTACGTTGATGCAACGAACTCTTTCTATTCCACGAGCATTATTATTATTATTATTATTATTATTATTATTATTATTATTATTATTATTATTATTATTATTATTATTATTATTATTATTATTATTATTATTATGCTTGATTATATTTATTGTTATTGCTTGATCATGCCTTTTATGCATGTTTAAAGGGAATTTGTACATGTAATCATGCTTAATAAGATTATTAATAATCTTGTTTAGGTTAATTTGATTATAATTCAAGTGATCGCCAATAATAGATTTGTTTGTGCATTAATATTCAACCAACATAGATTAAACATGTTTAGGGTTAACCTATTGATTGCATGTTAGTCAGAAAGCGCACACGAATACGAGAAGAATAAAGTAGAGGCCTATTATTAGGGCAGGTTCAGTCTCTTTTAGGTTGTATTTGTACCTTCATCCCGAACACCAGTCATGTTTCAAGACCTATTGGAGTAGATGATCTCATGGATCGTTAAGGGGTGTAACCTTCACCTTGTGAACGGTTTACAAGTTCCTAAAACTTGTTGGCGACTCTATTACTCTAGCTTCTTTCCCTTTGGACGCCACTATGCTTGAGTGTATGATCACACTAGGGTTCAAGTTTGGGTAATGCTTGAAATATTCCCTACAATCATGTTAGGGCTAAATCTTTGATTTTTAATTCTTAGTGACATTCTAGAATTTGTTATTAATTTTGTTAATATCCTGCCTACAATCTTGCTATTAATATTATGCTTTAACATGATTATGATAATTATGATTATAATTATTATTATGTTGCTTTTTTATATTATTGTTATTGATTGATCACCCCTTTTATGCATGTTTAAAGGGAATTTGTACTTGTAATCACGCTTAATAAGATAATTAATAATCTTGTTTAGGGTTAGTTTGATAATAATTAAAGTGATCGCAAATAATATATTTATTTCTGCATTAATATTCAACCAACATAAATAAACAAGTTTAGGGTTAATCTATTGATTGCATGTTAGTTAGAAAGCGCACATAAATACGTGAAGAATAAAGTAGAGGCATATTTTTAGGGTAGGTTATTTCTCTTTTAGATTGGATTTGTACCTTCATCCCCAAACTTCCATTCTTGATTCCAAACCTATTGGAGTTGCTTCCCTTTGGACGGTTTACAATTTCCTAAAACTTGTTGGCATTCTTTTGCTCTAGCGTCCTTCCCTTTGGACGCCACCATGCTTAAGTGTATGATCTTAGTGGGGTTCAATTTTTGGGTAATGCTTGAAATATTCCCTACAGTCTTTTGGCGACTTCACTAAGGAGAATTTATATTTTAATTCCTGAAATTCATTTCGGCAATGATTTAGAATGAGTGGATGAGACACGAAAAGTTTTAAGTATTTTATGTGCGTAATTTTGATTAACATTATTTTCATATGCATAAAAAAAGTTCTCATTCAAAAGACATCCGTAATGAGTAAAAAACATAGGATTTTTACACGTAGGAAATTTGAGGAATATCTTTCACAACTATAATAGAAATATTACTGTGAAAACTGGAAAATTCTAAGAACACAAAAAGCTGCCGAGCCATGTAGGAACTAGCGTCGAGAAAACAGAGCCTGTCGCCGATGATATGGCTCAGTCGCTTGGCGACAACTCTGTCGTCTGGCGACAGGGCTTATATCCTGGCGATAGACTCTGTTGTCTGGTACCGTGTTCTTCCAATACCGAGCCAGAAATCTGCCTTCTTGTTTTGACCAGTTCTAGCACTATTGGCTCGATTCTACTTCCTAATTGAGTTTTTCTCACATTTTTAAACCCATATGTTTTCTACATATGGACATAACCCTCTTGGAATTCATGCTCCATCTACCCAACTGAACGCCCTGAGCAACATAGGGTACATCCGAGAATATTAAATTCACCAAACCATGGAAGCGAGTTTAACTCGCGAGGTCCCATCCACACCCGCCAACCCTTCCAATGTTAAGGCTTCCGCGCGGTGCATCTAAACTCATAAACAAGGACCCTCTTTGACTAACCCATATCTCGAACTTTAGAGAACTAGAGCCATGGTTAGGTTGCAATCTCATTGCATCATGTTGTGCATACTCTATGTATTTTTCCTAACCGTTTGTTGGACTTGTGTTTAAGCCTAAATAAACTGATTAATGACTAAAAGGACTTTGTTTAATTAATTAATTAATTTGAGTAATTAAAGTTTAATAAATTAATCAAAACTGACTTAGTACGACTCTAGGCCTATCCCGTAGAGTAATAATACTGAAAGCAGTCCAAGATTAATGTTCCAGTAATGGCGCAAAAACCTGGGCTGCAGCGCTGAACGCTGTTGTGCGACGCCGTGAGACAACTCTGTCGTCCGGCGCTGCACTACAGAGTGCGGCGATAGTTTAGATTTTTGCTCGAGTCATCACGACGAGTTTAATTAAACTCTTAGGATATGTCAGAAGCTCTAGGGGAATAATAGAGATCGATCCAACCATGATCAAGGCAATTATGTCAATGCCACCGCCCAAAACCGAGAAACAAATTCGAAGATTTATTGGCCGGTTTTAATATATAAGTAGGTTCATATCAAAGCTAACAACGATATGTGAACAAATATTTAAGAAACTCAAAAATAATATGCCAGTAATATGGGATGACGAGTGTCAAAAAGCCTTTAAGAAGATCAAAGCCTTTCTCGTAAATCCTCTCGTATTAGCACCAGCACTTCCAGGGATTCCTCTTAGATTGTACTTAACAATCACCAAATATAAAATGGGGGCTATGCTTGCACAAGAAGTAGAAGGAAAAGAAAATGCAATCTACTATCTAAGCAAGAAAATGCTCGAGTATGAAGTACGCTACATACCGCATGAGAAATTGTGCCTCGCATTAGTGTGGGCCATAACCAAGTTAAGATATTACATGCTCGTGCATGCAGTCTTTGTAGTTTCTCAAATGGATCCACTCAAGTACCTATTTGAGAAATCTACACTCAATGGGTGCATATTAAGGTGGATAGTCAACTTAGCCCAATTTGATGTAAGATTCATGCCTTAAAAGGCTATTAAAGGATCCGTGGTCTCGAACTTCTTAGCGGATTTCCCAATAGAAGATTCGACGCCAATACATGACAACGAATTTCCAGATGAAGACTTGATGGTCACAGAAGATGATACTTGGACTTTAGAATTCGACGGAGCCTCAAACCAAAAGGGATGTGGCGTTGGAGTATTATTAGTATCACCTAAGGAAGAGCACGTTCCAATCTCCATAAAGTTAAATTTCGACGTTACCAACAACGCTGCTGAATATGATGCATGCGTGGTAGGCCTTGAAATGTCTTTGGCATTGGGAGGGTAGAAATTGCAAATATTCGGAGACTCTTATCTGATACTCAACCAAATTTCTAAAAGATGGAAAGTAAGGAGTGAGAGTCTAGCACCTTAGCAAACTTATCTGGAAACCCTCACCAACCAATTGGAAAAGGTAGAATACACATATCTACCTAGAGAGGAAAACCAATTTGCTGATGCCTTGGAAAGACTAGCCTCAATGGTTAGAATTCCTACGGAAATCGAGAAAATGCCTTTAACCATAGAAAAAGGGCATAAACCAGCTTACATTCAAGACATAGAAGATGATGAAGTGGTCCAAGATGAAAGAGAAGAAGAAGAAGAAGAACCATGGTATACAGATATACTTAATTATGTCACCAAGGGAGAATATCCTCGTCATGGTAACAAAAGTGCAAAACGAGCATTCAGACTCTTGGCTTCCTAATATGTGCTCATAGACAATGAGTTAAATAAAAAGGTACCTAGGGGTCGAGCTCCCTTATGTGTAGGGAAAAATAAAGGAAGCCCAAAGAGCTATGAGGATAGTCCACGAAGGCGTTGGTAGAACTCATGTTAATGGAAAAATGCTAGTCCAAAAGATAATGCGAGAAGGATATTATTGGACTACCATGAATAGGAACTGTCATCAATATGTAAAAAGATGCCCTAAATGCCAAATATACGCTCATTTGCAACATATTCCTCCGTCTCGACTCTACACCTATACTTCACTATGGCCATTCTCTACATGGGGAATTGATATTATTCGTAAAATTCACTACTACAAAAATAACCAAAGAAACCTACTAAAAGAGACCTGTTATGTGGGACAACGGGTTTCTTACATTAATAAGACCTGATATTACAAGTAGCAGGTCTCTTATGTCAAAATTGATGGTTAGAAAAAAATAAAGAGACCAGCTGTTATCATCAACTGGTCTCTTTTATATTTTATATTTTTTAATTTAAATATACCAGAATCCAGCCACCTTATTAAGGATAGAAAAATCGACCCACATCTGTCAAAAAAAAAAAATCAACTCATTCTCACCAGAGCACCTTTCACCCTCGACTCACTGTCCCCTCCGTCGTCGCCCACACCGCTGCCCACAGACACTTAACACTACCCTCTGGTTCTCCTCTCTACTGCCGGTACGGTTCTCCCGTCACTTGAAGTTGCTTTCCGGCGTAACCTCGAAGATTAAACTCCGGCGAGTTCCACATCCACGCGACTTTAATCTCTGAAAACTTCCCCATTCATCGCGACCCTAACCTCCGGCGACTGCTGACTCCACCCTTCCCTTCCTACACTCGGAGCTCCCCTCACCCTAAGGTACCATCAATATCCTTTTTCTCCATATTAATTTTTTTTTCTAGGGTTTATCGGCTTGACATTTGCACTCCTCTTACAATGTCTGGGCTTCGTTAATTTACAATTAAGGATAAGAAGCAAAATTTTATGTTAAAGATAGCAATCATACACCCTGATTTTGGTATTAGTAATTTTTCAATTTTTATAATCAATTGTTTGTTGTTATTAAATTTTGATTTCTATACAAGTATGTCATTTTAATTTATCTACTACTAAATTTTTTGAATGATCATATTTTTGTGATTTTGTATATGATTTGAAGTTGGGTGCGTGAAATTATAATGGAATGAAGTCTAATTTATGTTGTATTTATGAAAAATTGCCAAATTGAGTGAAAAAGTGAGTAGTTTTATGAATTAGATCTTCAAAGATTAAGACACTTGAGCATTGGCAATCTGACTTGAATTTTTCTAGCTGCAGTTGCTATTACATTAGTCTTATAATCATATTATTAAGTCAAAGGAACATTGTGTAATGGAATTTGATGAATGACTTCAAATAACAATATCATGTTTTTGAAATTTGGACCTTGTATTTGCATATTATGTGTAGAGAGATTAAAGAGGTTGTGATGAAATCCGAACGAGGTACAAGCAATGAAGACAATTTAATATTTTATCATTGCAAATCCCTATCTCTAATGAGAAGGGTGAAGTTAAACTAACCTCCCCTGCTACACCTGTTTGATTGTTGGTCTTTTCGCCTTTTCGAATATCTAACCTGTTTTTCTAACCTTCTTTGCTTATTATAATCACGTCAGTAATTTTCTGTCATGGTTTTGTTATGCTCACTGCCTATATTTCCTTATTTAGGCTGTATACACTCAATTTTATAAACAAAAATGCATATGTGCCATGCTTTTGGGATTAAAAAACAAATCTCATTGATTTTTATAAGTTATAAGTTGACCTTTGTCTTGTTTAAATTTCTATGTTATATTGTTGTGTGTCTAAGTCATCTCTATATTTCTAAATTTTATTTGTTTATCTTTGTCTTATGCCTTCCTTGGTTGTGTTTATATATATCTGATCAGCTCATATTTTGTCTACTAGTTAGGTAAGCTTGCTAAGTTATAAGTGGAATTAGATTTTTAGTAATTTACTCATCTATATAATCATCAATTTAAAGAGGTTTGTAAAAAAAGATTAGAATTTTCTCATTACTCTCTCGTATTGAAATTTAGGCATCTAGAACATTAGAATGAGTCATAATAATACTCCGTATTTATTTGGTAAAATTAAAGTCCTAAAAACCTTAATAGTATAGCATGTCTAAAGCATTAATGTTTTCATCTCTAATTGAAAATCCAACGTCCATGTTGAATCAAACCTCCCACTACTAAGCATTTATTTTTCAATATTAGCATAGAGGATAGAAATATGATATAGCTTAGTGAAAGAGCTTGTTTCTACTCTATGTATATCCATTTCTGTCAAATTAATATTATTAAGATAAATATAATTAATATAACAAAGTTAGTTAAAGAGCATGTTCACTCTACTATGCATTAAGTTATTAAATTGTTTGCCTACGACTCAACAAGTATGATAATTGCTAAATTTGTCAACAATAGTTTCATATTTGCTAACTGACATTTAAACTAATAATGAAAGCTCATTTGATGTCCCAATTTAAAGTAATTATAGGGAACTGAGTCTCTAGTGTCTCCTTGTTCTTACTAACCAAAGATTGCTTTGATGTTGAACATACATTGCATAATAACTGGGTTATGCAGTTTCTTCCTTCCTTTGTGTTGCTGCTTCAACTACTCTTACATTAGGCCACATGTCATACTGCATTGAATTAAGCATAGTTTAGATGCAATTGTGGAGCTGCAAAGCTGGTGGAAATACGTTTTGGAGTACGAAAGGCGAAAGAAGCAGCAGTTATTCATCATCATATCCATGGATTTATCTGTCGCCAAATAGCAAATAGCAATTAAAGAGAGATAGGATACCATTACTGTTCAAGTAAGATTAAATCCTTCACGGGTCATCTGTTGCTCAACGAAGAAGCTTTTAACTACTTATAATAGTTTAACGAGTTTAGTTTATATATTTTGGGGGAAATTAGAGTATTTTTAGATACTTTTGCATAGTTTCCGAAGGTTACATTTGAATTATTATTAATGAATGTTTGTAAAAGTTTTTATCAACTTTTGTCCAATAATATAATTTCATGAACATTATATGATTATGGAGTAAATATTTAGAGTATATAGCATTGCAAATACAAGTACAGAAAACAATATTGTATAGGTACCTACATAAACAAATACCGTAGGGTTTCAAATTTAGGTATTTTTTTTTTAAAAAATAAAGAGATAAGAGACCTGGTATCTCTCTTAACAAGTGTCTTAGATGTACTTAAGAAACCTGTTGGGAAAGATAACATGTCTCTTAGACTTCATCAATTTAAAAACTATTATGGCCAAAGAGACCTGTTATCTCACTTATGAGATCTCTTAAAAAATGCAAAGAAACCTGATCAGTAGAACAGGTCTCTTTGGCAAAGAGACCTGTGAGCTAGAGACCTCCTCTAATAAGGTCTCTTAGGCCTATTATAACAGGTCTCTTTGGGCATTTTTGTAGTAGTGAATTACCCCTCCCGGCACAGGAGGTCACGTATACATTCTAGTAGCAATCAATTACTTTACAAAGTGGGTCTAAGCATAGTCATATGCCAAACTCACTGCAAACACATGTAGCACTCTTTATCGAAAGGAATATTATTTGTCGATATGGAATCCCACATGAGATGATAAGTGACAATGGAACTCAGTTTCAAGCAGAATGTGAAGATTTGTTACAAAAATACGGTATTCAACACCATCATTCCTCTCCTTATAGACCTCAAGCAAATGGAGCAGTTGAGGCAGCTCACAAAAACTTAAAGACTATTATCGAAAAAATGACAGAAAATTACAAGGATTGGCCTGACAAACTCCATTTCGCACTTTGGGGTTATCGCACGTCAATTTGCACATCAACAGGAAATACGTCATTCTCCTTTTTTTATGGAATGGATGCCATACAACCTGTAGAGCTATAGATATCGTCTCTACGCATTGCATTAGAAAGAAAACTCAATGTAGTCGAATGGACTAGGGCAAGATATGAGGAGCTAATTCTACTCGATGAAAAGCTACTATAGAAGCTCTACATCACACCTAATGCTATCAAACCTGTATGGCTAGGCACTTTAATAAGAAGGTCAAGACAAGAAACATCAAAGTAGGAGACTTGGTGTTAAAAGCATTAAGGAAAAATGTTTTGGATCCAAGAGGCAAATTTAGGCCTAATTGGTCCGGACCATATATCGTCAAAACCATTATGTCAAGAGGTGCAGCAAAACTAACTGATATGGATGGCAATGAGTTCTCAAACATGACGAACCTTGACCAACATAAAAAGTACTACCCATAATTACTTGAGTAGGACACTCAAGAGAGCTACGGATACATAGGCAACCCTTTATCGGGTGCGGCCACTTCAATTTTTGCAAACCTCGCATAGCATAAATAAAACATCGACGCAATATTAACGCCACATAAAGAAGTCTGTGGCCTGATAACAGACTGCAGCGCAAGGCGACAACGCCTGTCGCCCGGCGACAAAAAGCAACGTTTGGCAACAGACGAAAAATAGCGGCGCCAGTTTTCTGAGAATATCTAGGCAAATTTTGGTGTATTTCGGAAAATCTTCATTGCTTTAATAAAATAAATAAAAAGTTGATTTAATTAAAGAAGCTGAAATTGCATTAATAAAATAAAGTAAAAATTACATTGTTGATGGAATTTAAATAAAAGCTTAATAAAATAAATTGACTTAAAATTTAAACTAGTCTAATAAATTGGAAGTTAAGCAATGCTTCAATCTTTCTTTTCTTTCTTTGCCCTCTTCCAATTTTTATTTGTATCTTCTTCATCATCCATTACTTTAGCTAGTAGGCATCCTTTAGAAGACCTACATTAAACTTAAGAATAAATTCTCTCGCACTTAGCTAGGACTCCATGTTTCTTTTCTACCCAAACCTTTTTTTTTCTTCTAAAGTGACAACATTTCTTTTCTCTTTATCCCTAGTAGTGTCTTTCTTCTTAAGCATCACAGGTGTTTTGAATTCAACTTTTTTACCCAAGCATTCCTTAAAAGGAATTACTTTGTCACCTAGACGGTTCTTCACATTGGTTCTACTTTGATTTTTCTTCATGTCCTTTTTAGGCTTATTAAGAAACCAATTATTCACATCATTAGGCAGGGAAGGAGGAACCTTTTGGTTAATCACTTCCCATAAAGGCCTAGCACTCCAATATGTGTCAAACTTTTCTACTTCTTGTGAAATAGGGAATTCATAGGGACGAAGGAGATCCCCAAAAGGAATTGTTTGATGTAGACCGTACTGCCATTTTACCCTGCGCGGATAATTAAAGTCATCTTGGTCAAGCTTGGAAGACGGCAGAAGGGTTGCTTGTTGATACCAACCATCTTCTCGATTTTCCACCATGGGATGACCCACTTGATAGCAAAGTTGAAACAGGCAAAAATTTTACTCCACTCATGGAGACCCATTTTAGAGAAACGCTTCTTTCACCTTACAAAGCAATTTGGAGTGTATTTTTCAATATTGTCAGGAGGACTAATTAATTCTAGTTAATCTATTAGCCACATTTGCAAAAATATTCAATGCAAATAATTAGTATTACTATATAAAAATATGTTTTTGATTTCTGTAATTAAAAATATTTTTTTTCTACCTGTAATAAAATTGGAGAGCCCCGAAAAGGTGCTTTTGGATTTTTCTTTAATTCATCTAGAATAAGCACAGTCTCTCCAACAATTAATGGCATTGGATTCCTTCTAGATTCAATTTGCTCCAAGACAGTTAATGTGACTGCTTGACCCTCATTATTTCTACCACTAGTGAGAAGATATTGATTAAGCATGCAAATGAGAAAAGCCCTTCTTTTACATTAACTACACTACCATCTACAATATTTGTTAGATCTATGTCTTTTAAATTAAAGAAGCACTCAAAATATTTATAATAATACTCATTTACACTAGGAATTACCACAAGATCTAATGAAGGGAAACCTACACTAGTAGAAAATATCAAAAAGGCACTCCCTAATTGGCACCGGTTCAGTCCAAATCGGTGCCAAAAATGGGCTACAAAATTGGTGGGAAGGTAAACCAGAATAAAAGGCACTGGTTCACTTCAAACCGGTTCCTAAAACATAAAGGCCACCGGTTTGAACCGGTGCCTTTGTGAACCGAACCTTTTAATTATTTTTTAAAAAAAACCGGCCTTATCTCTCCTTAAACCCTAAAGCGCACCTTGCTCCTCTCTCTCCTCTCAATCCGCCTCTTTCACTCTCTCCTCTCCTCTCCTCTCCCTTCTCTCTCCTCGATCTCTCCGTCCCATTCACTTCTCTTTCTCTACAACAACAACAACACCACTGCAACAAGAACAACACCACCACCGCAACAACAACAACAACACCACCGCAACAACAACAACAACAACAACACCACCGCAACAACAAGGGTTTCACCACCGTAACAACAACAACAACATTAAGGGTTTTTTGTATCAATTTTTTTGCGTTTCTGGGTTTCAACGGGTTTTTTGTTTCAATTTTATTGTGTTTCTGGGTTTTTGTTTCACCTCTCTTTCAATTTTTTTTGTTTTCTGGGTTTTTGTCTATTAAAATCCAAATAATAAGGGTTTTGTTCGATTTCAATTTTTGTTTTCAGATTGGGTTTCTGGGTTTTTGTTTTTGCGTTTCTGGGTTTTTGTTTTTGCGTTTTTAGGTTTTTGCGTTTCTGGGTTTTTGTTTTTGCGTTTTGGTTTTTCAAATTGGGTTTCTGGGTTTTGATTTTTCAGATTGGGTTTGAATTTTTTTTTCAATTTTTGGGATTAAATTCTAGGTTTTTTTTTTCGAAGCTTAATTGTATTAATGTTTTTTTTTTAATAATTGGTGCAGATTCAGATATGAAATCGAAGAAGCAAGATACAAGATTGGTGTTTTTGTTTTTTTTTTTTATTAACAATATTGTAATTTTTTTTTAAATTTATATCGTAATTTTTTTTTTGTATTTATATGTTGTAATTTTTTTTTGTATTTATATGTTGTAATTTTTTTTTATTATGTATTGCAAATTTGCGAATTTTCGATGATATTGATGTTGCAATTTTTGAAGATATTGATGATGTTTTAATCGATTTATATTATGTTTTGATGTTGTTATGTATTTTAGACTAATTAATTTTTAAGTGGAAAAAACAAAAAAAAAAATTATATTTTTTGGCACTTTTGGCACCGGTTAACCAGTGCCAAAAACAACAAAATTATTTTTTTTGGCCATTTTTGGCACCGGTTAACCGGTGCTAATTACGAGTTTTGGCACCGGTTCGAACCGGTGCCTTTTAATAATCCTTTTTGGCGCCCCCCACATAGGCACCGGTTCAAACCGGTGCCTTAGGCCGGGTTTGAACCGGTGCCAAATTCCTTTTTTCACGTAGTGCTAGGATGGCACCAAATTCTTCCTGTAATGGGATAATTTCATCACGACCTAGTCAAAAGCAATGTGTATCTGTATCCCAATATTCTAAGGCGGTATGAATGAAATCTATGTCAAGATCTACCCCCTTAATACCATAAATACCTCCCATATGAAAAATATGTCTAATAGATAAGTCATATAATACAATCGGCAAAGTCCTACAAAAGTAAAAAAATAACAAGATATAACTACGGTGCTGGAGGGTGCAGATGATGAGGGATGTTCATCATATCGAAGAACATCGCAGACCGAGGAGTATGCTCCTCACCAGCTCCGGACTCGCCAGGAGTCGAAAACCTCAACTCAAGGCCAGTCCACCCAGGCTCACCCTTGTACTAAATCAAAAGAGGCTGAGGCTACGGGGGCTGCTGCAACGACGAGCCAACCTCGTACGTCCCACCACCTACCGGAGGAGTCGATGTAGCGCCTCCTTGGCCCATCGGCCAAGTCTGTGCACCCTCAGAGGAAGAACCCGAGCCCTCCACTGCCTCGATCCAAGAAGCGTCAGATCGGCCACCAGAAGTAGTGCGGCGACGCCTCGAGCCAAACCTTGCCTAGATGGCTCCCTCCTAGCCTCGAATCTCATCCGAGTACGTGAAGGAATAGGTTGTCCCTGCAAAATTAAATCAAGTTA